ATATTTTCGGTCCTATATATTACGTGCGAATAATTTGCCGAATATATACTGTAGTAACATAAAGTGTTGTCTCCCCACAATAACTTATCAGTCCTTGTATCACTGTAACATACAAACCGCCTGTTTATGTTTTGCGTCTAATCCGTTCACCTATATATATATATAGAGACGCATAGGGGACGGACCTAAACTGTACATAAAGAACACTAACTAAAGGAGCAAACAGCTCCCAACTGCAGCCCCCAGTCTTTAGAACAAGGATTCGGGCGAGCTTCGGTTCTTCGAGGCTCCGCTTCCTGCTGGAGATAAAAGTTCAGGAATCGCATCACACTCGCACCAATCCGCTGACGGTGACGAGTGACGTTCTGGCCTCACCGTGCCGTGAGCCCCCGGGAGACCACGATGTGCGCGGACGCTAAAACGTATTTTTTACCGTAATCCAAATATTATTAAAGTTTCATACGGGTCTTTGAAAGGGACAGATTAATGCGCGTACCAGTCCTTCTGCGGAAGTCGGCCGGCGCAAAAAAAGATAAGCAAAATTACGTAACCTTGTGCAAGAAAACTAGCTCAAATTGTCGAGACCGCGCGTGCTCCGCCTCTCTGCCAGCGCATTTCATTGCCAAAACTAAGACAAGAAACATGGGAGTGTTGTCCAACCTAGTAGTCACCGTAAGCGTAGGTTGTATGAGTACGTCAGTATCCTCTGGAGAACCTTGGAGCGAAATTAACCTCTAGATCATACACGTCGATGTATTAATTCAACTCTGTTCGCAGTAACCGTGGAACTTTAAGCATGGGCTACACCATCTTACAGGATGTGTGTTTTGTAAATGGTTGTAAAAGACGTGTTACGTGCTCCCCTCCTGTTTTGTCTCTCTGTCTCCCCTGCTGCACAGACACACCTGGTCCGCCCCTGGCTCCGCCTCCCCCAGGTGTCCTAATTACGTTCAGCTGGGGACTTGAAAAGCAGAAGCTGGAGGAGAAGAGTTCTCTTTCCCGATCTTGATGCCGGAAGACGTTGTCCGTGGACTTCCTCCTTCTACTGTTTCAGGATCTCTAGTTCCGAGTGTTTTGTGTCTTTTGTACGCTGGAGTAACAGGTAGTCTAGGTTTTTCGCGGCTTTGTTTTCTCCCGTAGGGTTTTGTTAGATTTCTGGGTAGCGGAGGGAAGCTCTGGGTCCTACGGCCCGTGGTGTGGCTGGCCCAGGCCCGCTTGTCCTTTTGTTTGTTTCCTGTCCTCCAGCGCCCTTGTTCATTTGCCGGCTGGCCATGTGAGTACGGTTGTGTTACAATAAATGATCACCGTTAAATGCTGCGTGTTTGATGTGTTTTATTTTATGTTGTGGGTCTCCCCAACGAGTCTCTATCACTAGTAGAGGGCGGGTCGTAACAGGGGCGCGCGCTATGCCATAATGCGATTCTCCCTCAAACAAAAAAATGCATTACCCTGAGTTTTTACGCTAAGTGCCGTGTGCCTCATGACAATCACACGCCGGCCATAATGCCCCTGTATCCGCAGAGCACTCTGATGGCACTTCCTGCAGTTTATTACCCTCGCCTGCGCATGCCCACTAGCTGCTTCCTTTACTGGAGTTACAACTGGGGCAGCGAGTGGGGAATCAGTAGCCTACAGTTAACATTATGTGGAAGTGTGGAATTGTTGAAATAAATTACATTTAGACTGGGATAAATGCAATCATCTTTTTTATTGAAAGTATGCCTCACATTACTTGCATTAAAGAGTCCCACCGGGACGCTTCCTCCCACGGCCAGTCAGCTCCGGGAGGACGGGGCACCCCACTCCGAAGCTCTCTGCTGAGGTGGGGCGGGAGCGGAATTCAAAATGTTATAGAGAATACAAGATAAATATAAATAAGAACATATGGATTCAAAGTGATGACAAACTTACAGAACAAAACATGATAAAGCAAAAATAATAATAAAAAAAGAAGGAAATGTTATTTTGAAGTGTTTAAGTATTTGTGTATGTGGTATGCTTATGTTGGTGTTTTTGATTTGTACTCCTGCATTGACTCCTAATCAATAGTAATGCTAAAGGTCACTATCAGTGCAACAAAACAATATAGTAATACAACAAGAATGCAGAGATTTTTAAAACATAGGGAAAAGCAGTTACAAAAAGGTGGATAAATGGTCTTGTAGGAGCTTTTTTTTTACCCTTCCATAGTTTGGTACCACTACATTTGACAAATTCCATTAAAAGGCTTTATAGGTCATATGTGCAATAGCTGCCGTGTACGGTATACTCAACATATATTATACCTAACATAAAATAAAAAATACATAAAATAATGCAATAGAAAAATTGGTGCAAGTAAGTTGCAGGAACAACAATATATACATATAATATAGAATAAGATAAAACAGAGTTTACATTTTAACACTCTACTGTATAATAATTAGAATGGAGCAGGAATGAGTCCTAAACCTGGAAATGAGTCAGCATTTTTTTGGTTCCCTCGTCTCAAAGTCAACTGTTTTTTGAATCAATGTCCAAAGTTAGTCAATATCATAGAAAACAGCGGTTGCTAACAAGTGAATAAATGAGATGACTAAACATCATCACGGCTAACATTAGCCGCTGTTAGCGTAGCGGTGGTAACGTGAATCTTGTGACTGTAGTTTGTTTATAGCACCATCTCGTTTTCGGGACCCCCTTGAAAACAAGATGGTGCATCTCAAAGGTTTTATCCCAATAAATAAAATGTCTATAACAGCATAACATTAGCTTTGAACTTCTTGTGATTGCAGTTCCAATGTGGTTAGATGCCTGACATAAGGACTGTGGTTAACACTGGCTTACAAGATTTGTTTGTTCTCCGACCAAATATGTCAGTAAATGCTCGACTTGTGAATATCCGGAGCTTCTATGTGTCATAAAAACAGCGGTTGCTACATAAACTTATAAACGTCATCACATGACACAAGTCTGCCCGGTTGTGCACATCACCACCACCCAGACGATGTAGTTCGTTTATAGCTCAGCATTAGCTTTTTACTCCTGCCGATAAATGGTAATTGTGGTATTAATATTTGGAGATTATCCTGCTGAACAAAACATCTATGTACCATAAACGTTTGCTAAAGAGTTTATTTTTTGCAACATTCAGAAGTCCAATGGTAAAATGTCATTGCTTTGTATGTAGGGAGCCATGTGCTAACTTCCAGGTTGACCTAAAAAAAATATGTCATTAGTGCACCACTCTATAGGCCTACTGTAAAATAAAATAAAAACTGTAAAATATTTTTGGAATAATTTATAAAGAATTATTGCACAGAGCTTGTTGTCTCGTGTCTCATCATTTTACTGTGTCTCTTCCACAGATTGAAGGAGGGGGCAGCATCCAGATGAAGAAGGAGTACAAAGCCCATGTGTCCTTCACCAACACATGCAGCAATAGTGTGAATGGAGCCGTGCTGACAGTAGAGGGGTCTGGCCTGCTGCAAGGCAAACAGGAATCCAGGTGAGTCTGACACAAGGGCCTCACAATAAATCATCTTGTGCCAAAGAACAGGTGTCGTTAGAAAGAAACCTTGTTACCTTGGAGGGTTAGACATATCCTTCCTTTATCTGTGAGCTGGATGAAGAGTTGGTCTGTAGTGTCAGTGTCTGAGGAATGCTGTCAGATCAGTTTGTGCAGAACGATAACATCTGAACGTGTTTAGCTAAAGTATGGACCTGTCATCCTCGTTAAATGCAATAATATATATGCATGCAATGATCCCCTCCTGACTTTCTAACCATTATTCAAATTCAAAGTACAATGTTCTTCATTGGCAAAGCAGGTAACGATTTAAATCTAATTTAAAAAAAACTACATTTTTTAAGAGCATTATAATCTATGGCAATAGAAACTAATTATAAAATTGACATTTACTTAAAAACACTTAAAAAGCCAAAAACATACAAACTACAACAAGCTAAAAATAAATAATAACTGTTGAGAAATACAAGAATAAAAACACTTAATAATTAAATGCAATGATGAGGGCCGGCTTCAGACAGAGGGTGAAAAGAGGTGCTCCAGCACAGACAGTATGAGAAAAATAAAGACCATTTTGAACATTAAAGCATGGAGACATGTCACTATGGAGCACGACGTACAAATATGAACCTGAAAAGGAGAAAAATAGTGCCCCTTTATGTTCAAATACACACATTAAAAACAAACTGGACCTATACACATTAGGCCCAATTTACACATACATTATTGTGCTATAAAAGAAAAACACGACAAAAGAAAACAGAACAAAAGCAATGTTACCTTCCTGTAGGGACGTTTTCAAATGTGTATCAGCGGTAATGAACACAGCAGAAACAAAGAAATGTGGTTTTGCAATACTTTCTTAGCCTATTTGCTCCATGCGGGGGCTTGAATCGGAGACCATCTCAACCCAAGCCAACCCATGCTGACTGTGGCATGTGGGCATTATTGAAATCCACATGTTCTGCTTAGCCTTTATTAGAGGGATTTCATTTTGCAGTGATCGCTTTTACCTCTCACCTTTGTTTCTGATGTTTAAATTCCTCCTGATGCAAATTTGAGAAATGCCTTACAGGAATGTAACACTGGTTATGTTCTCTTTTCTTTTGATATGTTTTTCTGACAAAGCTGCAACTGCATTTAGTTGTGCAATCCCATTGTGCAGAATGAAAATAACGATCTATGAAACCTTTTATTTTTTAGACAATCTGTTTTTCTCTGGGTTCTCTGTCAGTGTCACTAGTTCATTATGTTATAAGTCTTTGCAATGTATAATCAATAACACATTTTAATATCCATTTGTCTTTATTTGTTTATTTGTTTTTAATCCATTGTAGTGTTAAGATTTAATCTTATGTTTCCCTCCCAGACAGGAATAAGATTGCTAAAAAGAGAAGATATTCAGCAGAGTCATGTAGAGGGATGATTGTAAGAGGGATCATTGTGCTTTAGCATTTGTTTTATTCGCTTGAAGGGGCCCTAAATGTTCATATTTGTAATTGTTGCCTCTACTGTGACATGTCTCCATGCTTTAATGTTCAAACAGTCTTTATTTTTCTCATACTGCCTGTGCTGCAGCACCTCTTTTCACCCTCTGTCTGAAACCAGAGCCCAGTCTGCTCTGATTGGTTAGCTGGCCGGCTCTGTTGTGATTGGTCCGCTGCCTAGAGATGTCCCACTCCTCAGCCTTTCACGTACAATGTGTTGGAGTGCTGGCCAATAGAAGCGCAAGTGTGACAAAGTGATTGTGGATAGAACAGACACTACCCACAGTCACTATGTTACGTAAGTAAACAGAGGGGTCCAATGGAGGAGTTTCAGGCAGAGGGGGAGTGTGTGGGAGAGAAACTCCCTCTGGAGGGAACACAGGGATTTTAGCCTTTGCAGACCATTTACATGCACTAACATTTATATATAGTGCACTACAGGAAAGGGATAACTCCAAAAAGCATAATAGGGCCCATTTAATAATCTCCACATGGTAAAAGATCTTGAATAACTTGAAGTATAAATCAACACTCATCGCCGACACACACAGAACTATTAGAATAGTTTTTGGCTATCTCACAACAACAATTGATCTCTGATTCATGGCTGCTCTGATCATATTCTAAGTGGGTCCCTGTGTGTGTTGAAATGGGGAAAGATTAAAGTTTTTTCTCTCTCTGTTAGGATGGCTATCCTGAAGCAGGACGAGAAGATAGAGAAGACAGTGACCATCATGGCCGCTTGCCCCGGCACTAAACTGCTGAAGGCGACTTTCTCACACAGTAAAAGCCCCAAAGCCATTTCCAGAACCTTCCACAAAGTCACCGTCGTGAGTGCATGACACTCATGAGTCCATCCTCCAGAAAAGCTCCAGGAAATTATTTTCTTTGCAGTAAGACCTGGACAGTGACTTTGTTTTATTGTTAAAATGTTGTGTTTTGGTAGTCTCCATTCATTGATCCATTCAAAATAATCAACATACACGATATTCTGTAACGGTGATCGGGTAAATCAAAGTCAGAGAACAATATTTCTGTATTATATCATACATGGTTTGATCATTTAAAAAAATATCCAACAGGTTTTACATACATGTACCATACTATACACAAAACACTTTTTATATATGATAATATGAATATATCATAGTATTTAGTACTTGTCTTCTTTACCTTTTCTTTTGGAGTTGCATACATACATTTCCATCAGTAAACTCAACCAGCGGATTGTCTCAGAAATGTCAGGCAAAACGAAATGTCTCTAATATGATTGGTAGCAACCTATAGAAAAAAATCACTTATTAAGTAGCCAGTTTCAAAAAGATCTGATGACAGCATTATGAGTATGTCTTCACACTGATGGTTCATATATAAAGAATACACACTGTATACTTTTCACTTTATGATTATAAAGAAGGGGCCTTATGTGAATTATGATTAAATAGTTATCACAAAGATACGAGATAATGTCATGATTCCTTAACCTCTACTAGTGAGTCAGATCATGGGAAACTTAGTTGCCTTTAACTTTCAAAGTGCTTTACAGATTAAAAGCAAAAGACATTTGAGAACAAATACAGCATAAATACAATATTAAAAAGGCATTTAAATCTGGTAGCACAATTTTTTCCATAAATAGCATAACAAAATTATATATTTTTTTTATTAATCAACCAAATAGTAAAACGAATAAAAGAATCAAATAGAATGAGGTGGTTTCACAACAAAGCACTATTATAATAAATCAAAAAAGAAAGTCTAGCCGATCAAATACCAACTGGAAGATGGGACTGCACGATTATTTTGACTGATGTGGCAATTAGATATCGGAGAGATTCATCATAATTGAATGATTAAAAAACACATAATACATGCTCATTGCGTGATTTTCCTTTTCAACAGGATCTGTACCAAACTAAAGGCTTTTTTGAGTCTGTAGAATACAATTTGTAGGGCGGTACTTCTCTGCTGCTTAAAAATACTTAAATCATATTGGGATTTTGTTTACACTTTTGATCAAATGTGCAGCCCTTCTGGATGAGGTACCAATACAGAAAATGCTTGATTTCCCTTTGACCTACTTCCTGTCAGCCTTGCCAGTCAAGTTTCTCACCATTTATAGAAAATAGCAATATAACAGACATTTGTCCTGTCAACACCCCCAACGTGCCTTTGACTTTCTGCGAATGTCACTGAGTTCAAACTTGTAATCATGCATTACGATGGAAATGACAATAGTGAAGCTAGGTAGATTGTGTGCTAGATAATAAACGTGTAACTTGTGATTGTCCCTTCACAGGCTGAACTGCATTTCTGTTATTGAGTATCAGCACTAGATGGCAGCGTTGGAGTGTCTACCAATGGGTCTGTGTCTGTTTTCTCTCAAGAAATCAATGATCTGCTTTCCTACGCTTTTGATTCTGGTTATTTTTTATCACTTTGCCTTTGGCACTGCCTGCACCCTGTGATCATTCAGGGAATATTTGACATTTAGTCTCAGAAGTCAATTTAAATTAGTGGCTAAATGATTTTCCTGTGTTCCTTTGCCCCTTTTGTAAAACTATGTCCCAGCTGTCAGTTACAGTGCAAAGAGCATACATATTTTTCCATGCACACCAATTGCTTAATGCATCAGTAATTTCTTTTTAATTGGCACAATGTCTTTATTTTAAAAAAAAAATTACTTTTTCATTGAAAAATCTTATTTGCTGTGAACATCGGGAGAGAAAAAGAAATGTTAAAATTCCTATATTTCAGACTTATTTCAGAATTTATAATCACAGATTCTTGTGGCTAAATCTTTTGACTTGGACTGATTTGAGTTGAATAGATAATTAAACTCATCAAATTTAGAAAAGGTCTCATCATGCATTGCTTCATAGTTAAAAGCAGCCATTTAACCCCTGAAAATAAGTCATGGCTGCTTCTCTGTTTTCTAAAATGTTTTTTTGTGTGTTGTGTTTTCACATTATTTTTGACAGATGAAAATGTGGAGCAGAGAAAGCAGAGTAAACAATGCAACAATTGTCCCAAAGCTGGAACCATAATAAATTAAACAATCCTGACGACGATAATGTTTGGTATACATATATTTTAAATGCTCCTTTGTTAACCTTAGTTTTGTTGTTAAATCTTGTTACATTTCAGGGATAATTGTGTTCAAGATTCATAGTCACCAATGATGACTGTCCCATTGTTTGTTTGTTTATTGGTTGAGTTGTCCGGGACCATGTACAAAAGAACATAAATCACAGATGCGTTAAAGCAGATTATAGCAGTTTGCTCATTTCCATCTGCAGTCCACATTATTGAACTTGTCTTAAATTCACTTCACTATTTATTTACCCGTCTATTTGTCCTTTTGTCTTAGTACTGTCAAATATTGTTTCCAGTTTCTATCATATAAAGTCATGCTGATCCATTACTCTTTGGTTCCGTAGTGTATATACAAATAAAGGACTGGCTTATCTTAAGCCAGTTGAGTAGCACTTGAAATGTTTGGCTCTATGAAGCCTGATGTACTTATATGATTCTGTTTTCTTTAAGGTTGTATCTTCCTGGTCGAATGTACTTACTGTAAGTCGCTTTGGATAAAAGCGTCAGCTTAATGTAATGTAATGTAGTGTTTTGTCATTGACAAAAAAGCTAATTGATCAGCATATTAAGTGATGTATGTATGTAACACCTCTTAAATGTCAGCTTCATTTAGCTAAACTCATATTGTTAGGGGAGCTAAACCCAGTTTAAATGTTTTTCTATAGTGGAGAAGCATTGTTAACTAATATAAGGTAAACTCTATTCGTGTTATATACTTTTCCAAACTCTTTCCATGAGTCCTGCATGGTGTACAGACCATTGCCAGCAGCTCGAAGACCATTTTGGCCACTGAAAGAGAAGCTACTTTACTGTAGTAATTCCTTCCAGAAATAGGCCCATCAGAAAGCCTGTAAAACTATACTGAGTGAGCGCGGACAAGGGCACTTTACTGCTCACCCTGCACTTTTCTCTGTCAATATAATGGGCTTATAAATGGGATGATATAGAAGACTTCAGCTCTGTATTTGGGCATTTAATTTCAGGCAGCTCTGAGAAGCTTTCCACTGAGATGCTTTACGGATGCAGCTTCCTCCACGAGGATTGTTTTGACCTGAAGGATTCCAGGCTGACATGTTTGTACCGAGCAGCTTGTGATCTCACCTCGGTGTCAGGGAGATGGAAGCAGAGGCGTTGGCAGACGGAGACGATAATCAGACTCCACGCTTGCTGATTTTCAGACAAATTAAACGTCAGGGGAAAGCAGGGAGCGGGACCGCTGGGCTGCTTTGAAAAGCTGAGGCTATCATAAATTATGAATGGCTCCCCTCTCTGCATCCCTCGCTCTCTTCAACCATCCTGATCTTCATCCATCCTCGACTGTTGATCCCATTTGTTCCTTTCTTACTTTCTTCCTCTGTCATTTCTCCCTCCTCTGCACCAATCACCTCTTTTTTTAATCACTTCTTCTTCGCCTCCTTTATCTTCTGTCCACACCTCCCTCCCTCGGTTCTCCCCCTCATTTCTGCCTTCTTTTTGACTTCACTGATTTTCCTCCCTCCCATCCATCTGCTGTTCATTACCTCTACCCTCCTTAATCTTAATCACTTTTTCCTCTTTTGCATATCCCTCCCTTTCTTCATTACTTCCTTCACTTGGACCCTTATTGCCTCCTGTTTTCCCGTTGTTTTCTCTTCTGATTTTTCCTTTGTCATTGTAAGGCCAATAGTTAAGCTAGCTAGTAAACATATCTATTTTAGATATTGTTTCAAACTTTGACTTTAGTAAAGATCCTCAAACACAGCCCACTATCCAAGCAATTCCAATCATATTAGACAATTCTACACCCAACGATTAACAGCCAATACTAACATTCAGTAAAAAATGCAGGTCTCCTATCACCTATCTACCTATTGGATCAAATATAAAAGTCAGCCGAATTAGTGTTGATATTGCAAGGAGACGTATTGTGTGAAGAGAAATTGAAGATGTTGTTTAATTGCTGATATATTTATGATCCACGTCACATATTCAGTTTCGGCGGCATTTCTTCCAGTTTGTCCAAAGGTCTTCTCATCAGGGCTCTATAAATAAAGAACTACGGCAGACGTGTAATATTTAATGCAGCCGAACCGTGTATTACAATGCCGTTATGTGATGACTTCCAAAGAGAAAAGCAAGCACACTCGGAATAAAGTATTCTTTTCTTTTAAATTTTTTTTTGGGGGATTTCACATCGCATAAACACCATATCCCAACCTGCATTGCGGCTAAAACATCCAATTACCGAGCTTCAACGATAGCTGAGGATTATAGGTAGTTCGATGTTTTAGCCTATCAAAACCTCTGTTTTGTATTATAGCAGCTAACGGATGGAATCAATTCATGGGCTGCACAGGTTGTCATGTCCGACTATCACAAGTAGAATAATAATGAAAGATACGCCGGTAAAATGTGCCTGTAGAAAACGGCTTATGCCACAAAAGGATAGCAACAATTAGTCAAGATAGTCAGTTTAGCTTCGGTTGCTATGCTAACATCACCCATTTTATACCAGAGAAACTTTCATACAGTGTTGTGATGCCAAACAGCGTCAATTCAGACTGACACACATTCACTTATGGGGAATTGGGGATATGTATCAGCTGCTTGTGTGACAGTCGGACAGTGAATACTTTACAGCGGCCGCTGCTGTGAGTTAACGGGAGAATAAACTCCAGTGGACGAGCAGCACTGCAGCAGTCGGTAAATGCAGCTGAAACACATTAATAAACAATGAACCACGGCACCCTGGAGAAAAGTATAAGGTTGGAGAAGTCGTTATTTATTTAAATCTGACTTCGTATGATTAAAAGCAACACAATCATCGACCCGACGCAGTCCCCCGTTGTTGATGTTGTTGTGAGCGCTGTTGGGGAGCAAATCAGCGATGTAAACGGTGACGTCATGACGCAGCAGCGGCTGCAACAGTCGGGCTCTGGGCGGTGTG